CTGTGACTTCTCTATAATTATGTCATGTCTGCTCCCACCCCCAGCCCAGATGATTCCCAAAGTTCATTCCTGTTCTGACTGGTTTACAGTTCTATTCTGCTCAATTCCATGCTTCAGGAGGGATGAGACGGAACATGGGGATGCTTGAAGGCCAGTGGGAAGAGCAGGTGATAAGCTGGTACTAGGGAGAACTATCGAAACAAGTAGGGTGGGGACTGGGGTGGGGGTGATGAGATCGTTTCTTGGGTCATGTGTGTAGCTTCTCACCTTAGAGACTTGCAATGGTGCCACCTCACAGCTGGTGGGACCCCGCGAGAATGGGAGGTTAGTGATGGGAGAAGGCCAGGAACCCAGGGCCTCCAATTTTAAAAAAAAATGGCATCTACAGTTTCCTTGGGTGGGAGAAGAGGTGGGGGAAGAACCTAATTCAAAGCCTGGAGGAGCTGTACCACCCAGATCCAGCTGATGAGCAAGCACTGAATTCTGAGAGCACAGTAACCCCCTCAATTCCCCTCAGGAAGTCTTTGCCAGGCAAGCCAATGCTTGTCTCCTCAAAACAGGCTGAGTCCTGCGGTCTGTCAGGCTCAACTACCTCCTTACTTCTTGGAACACAGGTCCTTGTTTTTGTTTGTTTTCTTTGCCTTTAAAGTTAGTTTATGTGTAAAAAAAAAAATATGTCCTGGGTCTAAATGTGTTAAACCAAACAAGAAAATCTGAAAGTCATGAGGGGATATTCTTCCTCTCCACTCTGTGCTCCCTGATTTTAGCTCTGTGGAATGTCTAGACTTTGTCCTTTGCATTTAAATACAGACTTGAGTACCTATGGAAAAGTGGAGTATGTCTCCATGGTGTGAACTGGTTTGTTTCTGTTTTTCCTCCCATTTGATGATATGGCTTTCCATGTTAGGACATTTATGATCATTTTATCTTTTTAACTGCTATAGAGTATTCACAGTTTGCAAATAAAAACCTCTTACCCTAGGGCACATTTCAGTGGTTTTCAATTTTTAGCTATTTAAAATGGCCACAGTGGACCATTGTTCTCTCCTTGGTGAGCCCAACCACCGTATACTTATAGGATGAGGACACGGGAGGAGAGAACTGGGTCTGAAACAGGGAGAGGTTTCTTTCTTTCCTTCTTTCTTTCTTTCTTTCTCTTTCTTTCCTTCTTTCTTTCTTCCTTCCTTCCTTTCTCTCTTTTTTCTCCCTTTCTCCCTTCCTTCCTTCCTTCTTTCCTTTCTTCCTTTTTGCTTTCCTTCCTTCCTTCCTTCCTTCCTTCCTTCCTTCCTTCCTTCCTTCCTTCCTTCCCTCCTCTCTTTCTCTCTTTCTGCCATTCCTAGGTCTTAAACTCTGGGCCTGGGCACTGTCCCTGAGCCACTATGTGCTCAAGGACTCGCACTCTACCAGTTAAGCCACAGAACCAGTTCCAGCTTTTGGGATAGTTTATTGAAGGTAAGACTGTCACAGACTTTCCTACCCAGGCTGGCTTCAAACCATAATCTCCAGATCTCAGCCTCCTCAGAAGCTAGGATTACAAGCACAAGCCACCAGTGCCTGGTTAGGAATAGATTTTTATGCTACCAGTCACTCTTCAGAGAGGACACTTCCTTCTCAGACTTCCTGAGGCCCCTAAATTCAAGCTCTGTGGGAACCCCATCTCACATCATCCTGTGTGATTACATAACTACTCTCTGTCTCTTATCATCACTGTGAGTTCCCAAAGGGCCTCGACAAGGATGCCTCTGTATACCTTAGTGTATCCTTCTATTAGTGAGTTTGGCTGGCTTAAAGAGCTGAGTTGACAGATGCCATCCTCCTTCAGGCTACCACCACCTCACAGCTGAGAGCCCCCTCCTCAACCCCTGAGGAGCATCAGTAAGCAGCACAAGGTCATGGCTAGTTGTTCTAGGAGGGAGCTCTGGGAGCCCCAGCCTGCCTTCGTGAGAGGTTGGTGTTAACAGTCACTGGGGCCGCTGAGCTCTGAGAGCAAGTAACTGCTCCCATTTTATAGATGAGAAACATGAGGTTCTGAGAGAGAAATCAGCAAGCGACTCACAGTTTCAGTAGACAACCCAGGGTGCAGTGAGAATGCACTGTTGGGCCTGAGCCAGGGGAAGCTTTGGGGTCAGAGCCACTTGCAGTGACCAGCACATTTGCCCTCATGGTCAACCTCAGTCCCTGCCATCACAAAGAATGTATGTGCCTTGGCATCCATGGCTCTCAATAGCCTCTGAGCCCCATTTCTACAGTCCATACCCCAATATACAGAGACACACCTATGGATAGCCTGCTTATTAGATAACAAATTTAGAAGATACTCTCAACCACGTATGTGGAAATCCTGCCCCTGCCCTGAACACAGAGAAAAAAAGCAGAAACAGCAAAATTAAGTTCCTGACCTCATCGAAGCAGGAGACTGTCACTCTATGAACAAATAGATATTAATGTGTCCAGAGAGTGGGGAGAGGTGACAAATAGAAAAGAAAACAGGACAAAGGTCAGAGGGTATGTGTGCTCGAGTTCTGGATGGTATTAAATGAGGGGTCAGGAAATGTGACTGAGGGGGTCACATTTGAGCAGAAACCGGAGGGACCATGCGGGTCACAGTGGAGATGGGGTCGCTGGGTACAAAATCCTCTGGGGCACAGTAAACCTGGCAAGGTTGAGAAAGAGGACTGAAGTCCAATGGTGAGTCAGGGGATGGCCAGGAGGAGATAAATTTGGGGTGGGAGGGAGAGCAAGGGGTGGTCCTACAGATTTGTTTTTTTTAAAGATCATTGTATGTAATGGAGTTGTGATCTCTCACAAACACAGCGGCAGAAATTCATGGAAGCTGGATAAAAGCAACAAATTCTTTTCTTCTCTGGAACCCTTCACTTATTATCCTGGGCCATGAAAACAATATGGTCATTTCCTCCTCCTTCTTCTCCTCTCTGTCTAAATCTGCCCCTGACCTTGTCCCAAGTTGGCTTTCCTGAGTGCCTCTGAGGCATTGGCTGCCTCTAAGTTGCAGGCAGAAGACAGGGCCAGCAAGGGGACAAGAGCAGAGACGCCCCCGGAGAGGCAGGCAGCAGCACGAGGGACCACGTCACAGGGACCTCTGACCGCTATTCATTTCAGTGCCCGTGTCTCCATCAATAACCGTCTGACAGTGACTAGGGAGGAGGGAGGAGGGAGGAGTGGAGGAGGGGTGATGTGGGGCTGGACAGACCAGGAGAGGGATGGAAACAGGCACTTCGGCAAGAGGTGGAGTAAGGAAGGGCGCTGGCAACTGGAGTGTCCACCTCCCAGGTGCCTGTCCCTGCTTCCTCCTTCCAACTCTATGGTTCCTTCACACATACAGTCTCTTCCTCCTTTCCTTTCTGGCTAGGAGAGGAAGGGAGAAGGCACAGGATTAATTTCTATATTAGAAGAGGAGGGAGAAGGATTTTGGGGCACGAGGTGGAAAGTGGAGGAGTTGGACATTGCAAAGGATTCTGGGAACATTCTGTGCCCTAACACCAAGAGGCTACAGCAAGCCTTGTGACAGGGCTAAACTGTGAGCACTGGCCTGGGGGCCTCAGGAGACAGAGGACTGTACCAGCATAGAACAGCCATTCCAGAAATAAATGGCCATGAGAAGGGTCATTTAAATGGCTGGCTGCAGGCAGTTAGGAAAGGAAGTTGTTTGTGGGTGGTCTAGAGCAGTCAATATGGCTACTTGAAATAGGTAGAATGCAACATGGGGTACAAAAGCACACATGGGGAGCAGGCTGAGCATAGTAATGGGAGGTGGGTGAAGGGGGCTAAGGAAGACGATGGAGAGACAGAACAAGAGGGGCTGACTGTCCTGCAGGGTTCCTTCTCTGGGACGTTGCAGTCTGTCTGAGATGACTGGTGCCCAGAGGACTCAAGTCTGCTCTAGATCAAATGGGCTTTTAGACTTTCATCTTGACTCCAGCCTTGCAGGTCTCACACTTGCGGCTAGAGGAGGAGACCTCCGACACTGAGCCGTTAGTTGGAAGAAATGTCCCCAAAAGATTCTCCTATCACCAAACTGTCTTGTTCCCTTGTCACAGTGCCCGAAGGGCCAGCATTAACAACTCTACAGTCAAATTAGTAGATGGCTCTATCCAATCCAGAGGAACAATAGCATGTGGCCGCTAGAATCACTGGAAAGGCAAAGTGAACTTGACTCTGGAAATCACCCTGGGCCTGGGAGACTGAGGCCTAAGAGGAGGTGTGAGAAAAGCTTTGGGGGAGAGGGGGTCCCCAGTCCCCGAGGAGTAAGAGTAGGAAGAGCAAGAGCAGGCCTCAGTTTCACCACTGTAACTAAATGAACTGGGTAACACAAGATCTCTCCCCCCACCCCACATTGTGAATGTCACAACAGGAACTGGGGTAAGGAACAAGAGACACATGAGAGCCTCCTTTGTTTTATTAGTACATCCTGGCCTGGGGGGGGGGCCTTCCTTACAGATGGAGCCTTTATTTGGTGGGCCTGGTGGGGGGAGTGTCCCTGCTCATCTCTGATGGCGCACCGCCTCCATCCTGAGAAGCCAGAGTGCAGAGTTCACAGTCAGGTGTGGCTAAAGTCGCTGGAGGCGTGGGGTGGAGGTGGGGGCTACAGGTGAAAACTGCCCATTCCAGTAGGTGCAGAGGATGGAACATCAGAAATGGATAAAATGAAATGAAATCAGCACTGCTATGGGTGGAGGGAGAGGTGAGGGAGGCAAAGACTCCAGAGGCACCAGCGTGTGGGGGCAGTGAGAGGGACCCACGGGGTGAGGGGTGTGGTGGAGTAGGGGTGGGGACTCGGAGGAGGGAGTCAAATAGAAACGCCACGGGAGGGACGAGAGGCAGAAGGACCGGGACTGCGCGAGGCTGGGAAGTTCTGAGGTGGGGAGAGCAACGGGAGCCGGGAGGTGCGGGGGGGGGGGGCACGGAGGGCGCGCGGCCAGGCGCGGCGGCGGGCCTGGGGCGCCCCACTGACCCTTCTCGGCGCTTGTTTCCCTCCCCAGGCTGCGCTTTCCTCACCTACTGCGAGCGTGAGTCAGCGCTGAAGGCCCAGAGCGCGCTGCACGAGCAGAAGACTCTGCCCGGGGTAAGTGGCGCCCGCCACGGCCAGCGGACGGCGCGCCGACAGGGGGCGACTTCGGGAGGCCGGGCTCCTACGGGGGCGGGCGGACGGACGGGAGGAGGACGGACGGGAGGACGCGCAGGCG